CTCTCCCTCGCTGTCTCTCTCAACACTCCACCCACACCAGCACACCAGGTCACAATTCCAATTCCAGACGATAAATTGTCACACTAGGGGGCATGGCCTGGCTTCCCGAGTGGCTATCATGACACATTGTATCCTCTGAGGATGGCCACATAATGTCCCCCTTCTACAGTGTGACCTTGACATTCTTCCCATGGGGGGCGGAACGTTGTGTCTTATAACCAGATGCAGGACAGTGATACTGTGTGGCTTGCAACGCACAGTCAGAAGAGGAGAGTCAGCATCACCCTGTGCTCCAGGACGCTCACGCTCCCGTGTGAAACCCTGAGCCGCCAGGTGAGAAGCTGGACCGCCTGAGGCCACCATGCTCCAAAGAAGTTCCAGCCACTTGCAGAGTAGATGTCCCAGCCCACAGACAGCCCCAGCGAGGTCCCCACCTCAGCCAGCGTCATGAGTGCAGGACAAAGAAGCTTCTCGGAGCTGTGTGGAAAAGGCTCAGGGGCTCTGTGACTGCCCAGGTCACATGGGGTGGCCAGGCTGCCCTTGCTGGTGGGGACTGATCGAATGACCACAAAAAGTGGAGCCAGCCAGCCTGGCCTGCCACCCACTTAATGTGTGATGATGTTTGCAAAGCCGCTTCCCCTCTCCGAGCCTCAGTTTACCTGTCTGTAAAGCGAGGCCGAACGTATCTCCTTTCCTGGGATCGAGTGAGGCTGTGTGTTCCTATACTGGCTGTGCAGATGGCGGCCGAGAGGCTCACCTTTCTGAACACTAGCAGGTGTTGGGGGGCCGAGGGGTGTCTCACACCCTCCACTGATGAGGGCTGGGTACCGAGGAAGGATGGGTACTCAGGAAAGGTTGACTTCCCATCTGGCACTTCTGCATGGGCCGTGGTCAGCCGGGCCCTCAAGCCACCACCCCAAAGCTTCCTGACCGGAGGGGCCTGAAGCCAAGCTTATCGCTTTCCTGGGCCTGCTGTAACAAACAGTCGGGAACTGGGTGGCTTTAGACAATGGAAACTTACTCTCCCACAGCTTAGGAGGCCAGAAGTTCAAAATCAAGGTGTCCAGCAGGGGCGGTTCCTTCCTGGGGACTGTGGTGGAGAATCTGACCATGCCTTTCTCCCAGCTTCTGGTGACGGAGGCCACCCTTGGGGCTCCTTGACTTGAAGCTGCATCACCCCAGCCTCTGCCTCCATCACCACGTGGCCGCCTTCCCGGTAACTGTCTTCACACGGCCAGCCACCTCTCCGAATGCGGCAGTCTGTGTCTCTAATTCTCCCCTTGTGGTAGGGCCCCCCAACATGTTGGATCAGGGCCCACCCTACTCCGTTGCTGATCGCATCTGCAATGACCCCATTTCCAAGTAAGGCCACGTTCTGAGGTTCCAGGGGTCAGGACTGTAATACCCTAGGGGCACACAAGTCAAACCTGCAACACCCACCTCCTGCCGTGTCCCAGAGCCAGTTCAAACCCCAGAGCCCCTCGGTCTGCCCCAGAGCGTCCCCTGCATGGCCTTCACTGGCCTGTCTGGGTGTGGAGTGGGGCCGCAGCATAGCTGTGTCACAGGATGTACTGAGGTCGCTGCCTTTCAGTTTCAAGGCGGGTGGCTGGAGCCTCGGGGCTCCAAGGGGGTTCTTATTACAATGTGGAAAACGGAGGAGGCTCAGACAGGGAAGTGACTGGTCCAAGGTCATGTGGCTGAGTGGTGATGAAGACGGACTTGAACTCAGACCGTTCTGGCCCTGCCGTTCTCTCTCAGCAGTCCCCACCACCCACCCCTGTCACAACTGTCTCCTACGAGTCTGTCGCCCCTACAAGCCTACGAGGCTATACGAGTCAGCTCAGGCCACCATCACAAAGACCCGACGGCTTAAACAACAGAAATTTCTCTCTCACCGTTCTGAAGACGGGAAGCCCAAGGTGCAGGCGCCGGGAGATTCCGTGGCCTGCGAGTCCCCATTTCCTGGTTTGTAGATGTCGGGTTCTTTGCCACGTCCTCACGTGACGAAGGCGGGAGAGAGCTCTCTGGGGTCTCAGCTATAAGGACACTAATCCCCTCGTGAGGGCTCCGACCACGTGACTTAATCCGCTCCTGAAGGCCTGCCCCCTAACGCCACCGCACTGGGGGTTAGGATCTCAACATAGGAATCTGGGGGACACAGACCTTCAGTCGATATAATACAGCCCACACCAGAGGCCTTGGTATCACTGTCTCCCCCATGCCCAGCCCAGTAAACTTCAGGGAATGTCCGCTCAATGAATGAACAAAATGACATCACTTTGGTGGGGTTTTCCAGGATGAATAGAAGTTTGCGAGGCAGAGACAAGCATTCCAGCCCCAAAGCACAGCCCGTGTGAAGGCCTGGAGGCCTCCCACGGGGCCCGCCTGGCTCCTGGGTGGCATGCCGGGCCCGGGGAGGGGAGAGAGCCGGGCAAGGCCTCCATCCCAGGTGACATTCCTGGGCTGCCCGGCGCAGCCCGCCGACCTGTCACCCCTGAGCCAGGGCCTGTCCCGCACCTCTGCCCACAGGAGCCCAGCGCAGATGACTCGAGGTGTCTCTTTTCCCCTTCATGCCTGGGTGGGCTGAGTGGCATTTATTCGAACTTTCATTTTATTGGTGTTTTTGTTGAAAGCATGGGAATTATTCATAGCCGGTTTCGGTTCTCTTCTGGCAACGACCGTATCTCTGTACTCAAGGTACAAATTATGTGTCAGCTCAAGTCACTGTCATTCAGAGGTGGCATCGGAGGCCCAGAAGGCTCCGGAAGCCAGGTCTGGCTGGCAGCAGCAGGGTCCTGAATGGGTAATGGTCCCCGAAGTCACCAGGGACAGGG